GGATGAGGGGTGAAGGGGAGGGGAGCACAGGGATGAGGGGTGAAGGGGAGGGCAGCAGGAGCTCCTTGACCAACGTTCACTCTTCCTTTCTAGACTACCTAAATGACTTTTCCATTTTTTTCTCCCCATTCCTACTTTTTTCTTCAATGCCTGAGATTCGCTGTTCCACTTCTGTTGGTGATGTTTGCACCTGTAGTTCCTGTTCACTTACCCAGATTTTCCATTTCCAGAATTTTCTTGGTTTACGTTTTCTTTGTTGCCTCTATTTCAATGTTTAAGTTTTGAACTGTTTCCATCACCTATTTAATTGCTTTTTCTTGGCTGTGTTAGATTTCTTTAAAAGATTTATTGTTTTCTCCCAATTTTTTGTTTGCCTTTTTCTTGATTTCTTTATGGGAATTTTTCATTTTCTCTTTAAGGACCTCTATCATCTTCATAAAGTTATTTTTAAGGTCGCTTTCATTTGCTTCATCTGCATTGGGATATTCCAGTCTTGCTGTTGTAGGACCATTGGGTTCTGGCTGCCATATTGGCCTTCAGGCCTTGCTGTTATAGGAGCACTGTGTTCTGGAGGTGCCATATTGCCCTTTATGTATTCCTATCTAGGAATACATTCCTGTTTACCCATCTAGGGTTGGCATAGATATAGGTACAGGTGTTGATTCTTGTGATGTCTTTGTTAGATGGTCTTTTGTTTCTTTATTGCCTGTTTCCTTTATTGTCTTTTGGCCTGAATTGCCAAGGGTTCTGGTGACTGGTTGGTCCTAAGGTCCAGTAGGGTTGTCTCAGCTGAGGTTTTTTGGGGTTTGGGTGTCTAGATCCATCATATCCTCCTGTTCTTCTGACTTGTGTGGGCTTTACTTGTGCTTATGGAGTCTTTTCTTCCTAGTGGTGTGGATTGTGACTGTGCAAATGGAGACTGTTCTTCCAGGTGGTTTAAGTAGTGATGGTGCCTATAGGGTCTGCTGTTCTCCCAGCTGGTGTAGGTGGTGATGGTGCCTATAGCAGCTCTGTTCTCCCAGCTGGTGTAGGTGGCCCTGGTACCTATAGGGTCTGCTGTTCTCCCAGCTGGTGTAGGTGGTGATGGTGCCTATAGCAGCTCTGTTCTCCCAGCTGGTGTAGGTGGCCCTGGTACCTGTAGCGGCTCTGTTCTCCCAGCTGGTGTAGATCTTCCAGCTGGAGTAGGTGGCCCTGGTACCTGTAGAGTCCGCTGTTCTTCCGGCTGGAGTAGGTAGTGCTTGTTTAGGGGCTGTTGCAGTGGAGGGTTGGCCAAGGGGAGTATGATGGGGCTGGTGGGTTTGGGTGGCGGAGTGAGTCCTAGAGGTGACAGAGTCCAGTGGGTGTTGGGGGTATTGCTGCAGCCTGCCTGGAAGTTTCTTGCCTGTTGGCCAGCTGCTGGGAACCTTTTTTTCTGCCTCTGTTTCAAAGTTCTCCTAGTAGGAGGCAGCAGCTTGGGCCGTGTCATTGACCCCTGTACATGGTAGGCTAGAGGGTCCAGATATCTTGCAACAAGGAGTTTCCACCTGAGGTATGGATGAAGGTGTGAGCACCAGGCTACTTTGCAGCACTCATGAAAAGCATGTCCCTGGGGCCCCAGTTCCTAGCCTGACTTTGTAACTTTGAGGGTGGGCTCCTGGCATCCTCACATTGACCGCTCACCACCATTTCCACCCACTGAAAATCAAGGGTTCTGGACTTGGCTCACTTCTTTGAGCCTAACTTCTGTGATGGAGGAAGGTCATTGGTTAATTAATAAAGAAACTGCTTGGCCTGATAGGTTAGAACATAGGTGGGTGGAGTAAACAGAACAGAATGCTGGGAGGAAGAGGAAGTGAGCTCAGACGCCAATGCCTCTGCTCTCTAGGGCAGATGCAATGAAGCTCCGACCCAAGATGGATGTAGGCTAGAATCTCCCTGGTAAGTCACCACCCTGTGGTGCTACACACATTAATAGAAATGGGCCAAGCAGTGTTTATATGAATACAGTTTGTGTGTTGTTATTTCGCGGCATAAGCTAGCCAGGCAGCCAGGAGCCGGGTGGCAGGAACGCTGCCCACAGCTCCTACTACACTCCTACAGTCAGGGGTTCTATGAGCTCAATGTGCTTCCCACAGTGTGGCCAGCAACCTACTGCCTGATGGCCATGGACTCTAGCCCAGCCAGGCTGCCATGTAGAGTGAGGGCAGTAGGGCGCAGTGGTTAGCAGTCTGTCCCTGGATGCAGCCTCTCGTGGCTTAGCTGTGAAATGTACCCCTGACTTGTAGCAAAGATGCTGATACACAAGCCCCGTCTCGGGGCTGAGGAGACGGCTCCTTCAGTAAACCGCATGCTGTGAAAGCATGAGGACCCACAGAAAAGCCAAGCATGTAACCTCTGTGTGCACCTCTGTAATCACAGTGCTGGGATGCAGAGGCAGGAGCATGGCTGAGGCTTGCAAGCCAGCCTAGCAGAAGATTCAGAGAAAGACCCTAGCAAAGAAAAAGAAAAAAAGAAAGAAAGAAAGAAAGAAAGAAAGAAAGGAAAGGAAAGGAAAGGAAAGGAAAGGAAAGGAAAGGAAAGGAAAGGAAAGGAAAGGAAAGGAAAGGAAAGGAAAGGAAAGGAAAGGAAAGGAAAAAGCCGCAGTAGAAGCTAGGTGGTGGAGCATGCCTGTGGTGCCAGCACCCGAAGGCAAAAGCAGTTGGATCTCTGTGAGTTCATGGTCAAAGGTCAACACAGTGAGCACCTTAAAATATTAATTAATTAAAATAATAAAGTTGGACTGGAAAGTTAGCTCAGCAACACTTGCTGTTCTTGCAGAGGACGTGGGTTCAGTTCCCAGCACCCACGTGGCAGCTCACATCTGTAACTCCAGTTCCAAAGGACCTGACACCCTCTTCTGACCACCACTGAAACCAGACACAAAAGCATTGCACATATGCACATGGCAGGCAAAAGACTCATGCACATAAAACAAAATGCATAAATCTTTTTGAAAACAAGCAAAGGAGGAGAGTGATCGAGGAAACACAAGCATCACCTTCTGGTCTCCACACACATATGAACACACAGCCCCAACAAACACGCAAACAAAATCCCCCACAGCTCTTAACTCAAAGGGAATAAGAGTTTATCATATATGAGTGAGCATGACCCAGGAACACAGATCCAGGTTCCCCCAGTTCCATGTTCCTACGTGGTAACAGTTTCATGAGGTTTTTACAGGAACAGAACAAAGCCATGATCCTTTGCAGAGACCTTGGTGAGGCCAGCAGGCGAGTGGTCAGAGAGTGGGCGTCTCTGCTGTAGGTCTCAGAGGATGTCCCAGGACACTCTCAGCTTCGGGCTTGGGGGAAGCTCTTAGCCCTTTAATACATTCCAGAAGGATTTACCTCTGAACCACAGGATGTGGTCAGATGCAGCCATCAAGGTGGCTAACTCAGAATAGCTGGCCTCCGG